CACTTGCCATGGCCACAACGGGCCCGGAGTGCATATACTTCACCAGCCCCGGGAAGAAGGGACGGTCCTTCAGGTCAAGGTAGTGCTGCTGCAGGAGCTCCTCGGAGGCCTGGCACGCAAAAGGCAGTCGCAGTTAGGAAGTACCCTGGAAAAGCTGAAATAGGGCTCTGTCCCATCCTCAGAATCCGCCCCCCCCCCCCATTCCCAAGGCAGGTTCTCCAAGTCCTGTAACATGTTAGCCCACCTAAGGTGTAAACAGAAATCCCACCCAAACCCTGACACTGATACTCTTTTTAGTGCAGAAAGACTGTTCCCATCATGAAGACACCCTCAAAATGTCAATGGTATTAGGGGTGTTAACATCCTAAGAAGTAGGTGGTTTGAGAATCTAGATGTGGAGAGTTAAGCGTTGGCTGCCTTTGAAGGAAATACGTCAGAGGTTATGTCACTCTTCTGGCCCATGTCCAGTGCCCTTTCCAACATCTCACATGTTAACCGAGAACGTTCGCCTCTTCCCAGATGGGCCTGGTTAAGATTTCAATACTTAACTTCTCCCTTAAAGTCCAGATCGGTGCCCCAAATGTAAAGTGTGGAAATGCCGGGCCCTGCCCTAAACCGGAGGGAGCTCCGTCTGCCCGCACCCTGGGCACGTGTGGCCCGCGTGGCCGGGCCGAGGAACAGGTTTCTCCGCGCCACGGCGGGGCACCGGCTGCTCCCCGGGCCGTCACGTCACCTCCGCTTAACCTTGCGAGGGCGCCCGGGTTCGCGGGCCGCGGGGCCCGGCTCGGACAGCGGGATCGCCGCGGGGGCGGGAGCCGGCGGGGGGTGGGGGCAGCGGCGGCGGGCGAGCAGGAGGAGGGGCGCCCGCCGCCGGGCTCCCGGGGGCCGTGGGGGCGCCGCGTTACCTGCAGGAACTTCATGGCCACGAGGCGGAACCCCTTCTGCTCGAAGCGCTTGATGATCTCGCCCACCAGGCCGCGCTGCACGCCGTCCGGCTTGATGGCGATGAACGTGCGCTCCTGGTGGGCCATGGCCTGCGGGCGACAGGTCGGCTCAGGGCCCCGCGGCCGCGCGGGCACAGGACCCCGGCCGCCCTCCCCC